GTATCTGTCAAATTAATGAAACTATTGAAGAGAAACTGTGGCGGAAAACATGTATAAGATACATGTATACCGTAAACATTTGAAATGACATACTGTAAACATACATAAACTTACTAATCTGTAAGAAGCGCGCCAAACTGTTATCATGTGTCTGCACGTCCTACTGAACATGAGGGCCGCACTCCAAAATACTTCCGTGTGAAACACAAAACTCTTGTCGTAGTCAGTCAAGACAAAGATAATTAGATTATGTAGCCTCAAATCGTGATAAGAATATCTTTATACATAATTACGCTGCCTCATGTTTAAATTCCATGTAATGATGCTATTGAGAACTTTCTGATTGTTACAAAACTGTATTGCAGTTATTTCTAATGCGTAGCTTGTATTTCCACCCGGACGACAATTTGTAACGTACATGACATTACACATGTCTTCTGACGATTGTCCTCTACATCTAATCATTCAAAGTGCGTGATATTACTTTAACCAATACTGACAGCAGTCAAAGAGTGAGTTGAACTGAATGTAGGATCTCTGAAGAGGTGAACATGACTGCTCGAGGAACACCGAGTCGTTTTTTACAGAGCGTTCTTCACAATGGAGTGGGTCGCTATGTTTGTCAGCTGAAGCGAATATCTCTGATCTTCTCGAAGAAAGGCCAGGGCTCTTTAGGAGTAAGGTATGGGCAGTGTTGGGAAAAGTTACTTTTAAAAGTAATGCATATTGCGTTACTCCATTAAAAAAAGTTACTATTTACGGTACTTAGTTACTTTTTATGGCAAGTAATGCGTTACGTTACTTTTGCGTTACTTTTTACATCTGTACAGGGCTTGCTTGTTTGTTTTTAAAATAAAAACGTTATATTTTTGCAAATATAAAAGCCTTTTAACACCAAGAGTGAAATGAATAAGCCTCAGGCTGAAGGGAAAGTAAATTTACCTCCGTACAGTAGAATGCAGAAGAAGAAATTTCAACACACTTCAGCAATAAAAAAAACACATGTTTCTAGAGTTATTTTTGCTTATTAGTATGAACTGGATCATCGAAGGTCAGAAGCAAAGACATTAGTTAATAGAATGGGATTAAATATATAAAGGGTATTTGTGTTGTTTAACATTTAATTATTGCAGGTTTGCGTCATATTCTGAGTTGCATTATTTTTATTCATTTTGAGGAATACTGAATCTGTGTGAGTGAGATGAATTAATGCATATTCATATTTATTTTAGAACTACAGTAACATCTGATTTCTCTCAACATGAGGACAGGCGAGCTGTCAATCAATAAACTGGAAAAAAAAGTAACTTGCGTTACTTATTTGAAAAAGTAACTCAGATATTCTCTTGTAAATTAAAAAAGTAATGCGTTACTTTACTAGTTACTTGAAAAAAGTAATCTGATTACGTAACTCGCGTTACTTGTAATGCGTTACCCCCAACACTGGTTATGGGTTTACATAATCTGTGCTGATCATGTATAATAAAACACTGTACAAAAAAAAAACCCCATAGAATATTTACTGTGCACGGAGATCCAGCAATTTATTATTGTTTGTTGTATTTTATTAGCATTTGTTAGTATTTCCGAGATAATATCACAGATTATGTAAAAAGAAATAGTAAAATATGGGATTTAAAAAAAATACTTGTTGTAAAAAATTTTTTTATTATTTTGCAAAGAGAAAAATGAAACCTTTTTATTTTGCTGGGGTTTAGGATGATATTTAATGCCGCTGATGTTAAATGCTGGCTGCATCCGAAAACTCTAAAATCCTGCCTCAGCATTCCAAGGCAGGAAGGCATCAAGGCACGTCCGAATCCAAATTCTGCTTTACTTGCTATCTCCGGAGGTACCTTCTTCTGATCGAATTTTGAAGGCATATTTCTGACTAACTTTTTTGCACTTTTGATGTTATTTCTAGCGAGAAATCAGTATTATAGTACTTAAATATTCGTTTAGTTATCACAAAAACTTGTTCTATTTTGTTGTAGATCATTAAACCGTTACGCTGCCTCAGAAGCCTGTCCGAAATCAGTTCCATGAGGTGACTTCATGCTAAAACGCTGCCTGCAAAGTCATTGCCTCATATGGCAACAAGTCAGCTACCTAAGTTTTCGGATGCAGCCATAGTGTGGGGTAGATTAAGTACCATGTTTCAGTGAGATCATTTGACATTGTGCATTATTTGTGTTTTGCTTATTGTAAATCACTTAATTCTAATTCTATTCCTCCAGGGATTTCATTGAAGAAGGTGTGGTCGACTTGGCTAAGAATAACCCGGGAACTGTGGTTTACATCTCCCCTCAGTCCTGCAGAATTCCAAAGATAGTAGCTGAATATTGTAAGTCTGACCTTGTCGTTTCCTGCAGTATTTACTAAATGTTTACCTGTGCACTCACTGTTGTTATTTGATCTATGCAGTGAATGGTAATGTGAAGGAGGAGACAGTCACCAACAAAACATCACAGGAAATTACAGAACTTATAACCAAGCTGTCCAACCAGTCAGGACTGGAGATCATCCGCATTCGTAAACCCTTCCACACAGACAGTCCCAGTATCCAGGGCCAGTGGCACCCCTTCACAAATCGACCCCCCAGCATCGATCCAGTCGGTCCACAGGCAAAATAAGGACTTTGCATTGTATTTATTCTCTGCCTGATGTTCTGACCTGTTGAAGGAGCCCTGAACTTCTGTCACAGCACAAAATCAACATAAATTCAACGTTTTCAGTAGTGACTTGTTATTAGACTTTTAAAATGATACTTTTCCGTTTCATGAATTATGACCGATTATTTGTGGCTTGGTAAAGTTTATATAACAATACAATTTTGCTTAAGATTAATTGCTTTTCACATTTTTGTTGGCTCCTTATAAGATGAGAAATATAACGTTTCCTTTGGAAAATAAAGTTTTGAACTGAAAATATGACTCCATATGCACTTTTTTCTTACTTGTTTTGAAATTTTTTACCCAAATATCCCTGCACTAATAAATCTTAGTATCTCAGAAAACTACTCTTGACAGAATAAATTTGAACTTTGTAAGAATTCAAGGTATTGTAGTAGTTAGTTATTATAGTAAACAAAACATGGTGACACTTTATTTTAAGGTGTCCTTGTTACACGTTACATGTACTCAGAGTGTTTCTTCCATTTTTGAGATCTATTCACTCCTACTGACACACTGCCAAAGAGAAGCACAACTCATCCCTGAAGGAGGCGTTGAATTCTACAGCCGAGTGGCTCTGAAAATGACCACCTCTGTATCTGTAGATGTCAACGATGCATGTGCTAACTCTCGCTGCTCCTGCAATCTGACTGCAATCTAGTGCGAAATTGCGTTGTTAAAAAGTCGAAAGCTCAAGAACATGTGCCCTCACACTCATGAAATGTTGCCAATGAGCTAAAAACCCAAACTCTTTCTGAATAATTAATGATCGAGCAAATAAGTTTCGACTTATTATACTTTGATAATAAAATGATTGTTATTTACATCAGGTGCAATTAGGCAAAAACAAAAAAATCTGTAAACGTCTGCATTTGCGCAATAATACCACATCAATTATGTACAAATATGCATTTCTTTGCTGAGAAAGTCTTTGGATAGTGTTCTTAAGTCTCTTACTTCTCCTTTAAAACAAAACAACATAACCAAATTAAGTCATGGATGTTCTTGATTGAAGTCCATCTTGTGATTTTTACACTTCGAGGTCCACAGTCTAGGTGTCTTTAGCTACATTTGACTTAAAGGGATAATTCACCCAAAAATGAAAATTTGATGTTTATCTGCTTACCCCCAGGGCATCCAAGATGTAGGTGGCATTGTTTCTTCAGTAGAACACAAACAAAGATTTTTAACTCAAACCGTTGCAGTCTGTCAGTCTTATAATGGAAGTGAATGGGAATCACGGCTTTGAGAGTAAAAAAAAACATACACAAACAAAACCAAATGAAACCCTGCAGCTCGTGACGATACATTGATGTGTAAAGGCATGAAACGATTGGTCTGTGCAAGAAACTGAACAGCATTTATATAGTTTTTTTTACCTCTGATGCACTGCAGTGTCTGAACTGTCCTGAGCGCGTCCTAGACAGTCGGCGCGTGACACGTCTTCTTCTTCTTCTTGCTTTACGGCGGATCGCAGACTTACAAGTGCATTACCGCCACCTATCTCTCAAATGGACCATTGACACTCTATCTACAATCTGTAGATAGAGTGTCAATGGTCCATTTGAGAGAGAGTTCACCCAGAAATTAAAATTTGCTGTTAATTTACTCACTCTCAGGCCATCCGAGATGTAGGTGACTTTTTTCTTCAGTAGAACAGTAAGTCCTGGTGATTCATAAGATGCAAGGCAATGGCTACCGTCACTTTAAGAATAAAAAAAAAACATATACAGGCAAAACAAAAGAAATAACCCTGGCTCCTGATGACATATTGAGCTCTTATGAAGTGAAACGATTGGTCTGTGCAAGAATTATTTATAACTGAAATCATTAATTATTACTATAAATTATTACCTGAAATCCATAGCAGTTAACAGCAAATTTTCATTTTTGGGTAAACTATCCTTTTAAACAGTAGACCGAAAGCAAGAAGAAGAAGAAGAAGAAGACGTGTCACGCGCCGGCTATCGAGGACGTGCTCAGGACGCGCTCAGGACAGTTGAGACATTGCAGTGCATCAGAAATAAAAACTATATAAATACTGTTCAGTTTCTTGCACAGACCGATCGTTTCGTGTCTTTACACATCAATGTATCATCACGAGCCGCAGGGTTTCATTTGGTTTTGTTTGTGTATGTTTTTTGGACTCTCAAAGCCGTGATTCCCATTCACTTCCATTATATGACTGACAGACTGCAACAGTTTGAGTTAAAAATCTTCGTTTGTGTTCTACTGAAGAAACAAAGTCACCTACATCTTGGATGCCCTGGGGGTAACCAGATAAACATCAAATTTTCATTTTTGGGTGAACTATCCCTTTAAGTCGACCAATATTTTCATAAATATATTTTCACAAGATGATTCTCAAAGGCGCCAAGCCAAATAAGTTGAAGTTGTATATCGAGATCACAAAGAACGTCACAACAATACTCTTATACAAAATGTAAGCCTCCACACCACAAGGGGGCGATATAGCAGTGGTGCAAGATCATGCTACACTGAGCTCTCATCTGGTTGGATGTCCAACTGTGTGTGTTTCCTCTTTTCTAGAATCTTGTTGAGCTCCTCGGTGAAAGAGTGGTAAAGCGGAGACGTCATTTCCGTGTCTGTCTGACTCAAGAGTACGTAACTATTCCCGTTCATCTTTCTCAGCACGCTGGGCAACGTGGCTGACAGTCCGTTGGCGTACTCCGATGCAGGCAGGGGCGGCGGCATAGGAAGTGGCGGCGCTGGCGGAGGTTCCTTACTAGGCGTGGTCTGGATGTCCGCTGAAACGATCTGTAGAAACTCTCCGTCTCTTGACATTACTCTGCTACGCCCCTCCACTCTGCCATTGCAGTGGCTGGAGATGGTTTTGAGCTCAAAGTGCGAGCTCCTCTTTCTTTCAGTTGCTGTGGTTATGGACAGAGCTTGCTGGGAGTACTTTCTGGCATTGGGAGAGTTGCGTGCACAGAAGCTAACGTACAGGAGGACCACCGTTAGAACCAGACAAAGCCCGCCAAGAACAGCCACCAGAGAGATATACATGGCCTCCATGTGCCTGTAGGTCTGGAACTCCGGTCTAGAAGGCAACAGGGCCGGTGGAGGTGACAGAAGCTGCTCCACAGGAACGCTGGAAGGACTCGGAGTTGGCGCAGTTGTGGTGGTAAAGAAACTTTCAGGTAAAGCCGTCGGGCTTCCTGAGAGATGCGATGCGGGGGGCGGAACGGGTTGGACTCGTACCATATAGCTGCGAACAGGAACCCAGACGCCATTCTCTACTGTGTAACAGCGGTAGTGTCCACTTTGCTGGTTTTGAGCGCCAATGATGAGGAGGCCGTCAGTGCCGGTGCGGTAGCCGAAGTCTACGCCGTAACCTTCCAGCTCCTGACCATTCAGCGTCCAGTGAGGTGTGGCCAGGTTAGAACGGATCTCACACTGTAACAGTACATCATCTCCTGCCATCACTGCACGAGTCCGGTGCATGACGAAACCTGGCAAAATGTAAGACATTATTAGTCTATGTTTAAAAGTCACCTGACTAGGCTGCTCAGAAGTTAATCACATGCAAACGCACCATCGCTTGTAATGTTAGTACAGCCTCTGCTTCCCATCTGGACGTCCTGGATGAGACTGGACCTACAGGAAACAGAGTTGCACTTATTAAAGCCATTAATCGAAGCATGCAGAAGATAGTGTGAATGTATTTTGGACACTGGGTCTGAAAATTAACATCAAGAGAGCAATGAAAGTAAAAATTGGCTTTAGCAAGAAAATAAGTCACTTTCTTCACCAGTTGGCTGTTAACTTTATTAGGAATGCAACTATTACGTGGTTAAAATCACATTGTAAGAACAATGATGCGCATCTTCTAACAACTTTTATCTTATTGGAGGTTTAAGACACCTAAAACTGATAATTTCTCAATATTCCTCATTTGTGTATTTCTTTTTAAGATTGGCTCATAATTGTGGTGACACAATGACTTACACTTTTAACATAAATATGCAAGACAAATATCTAAATCCACTGACATAAGAACAAATATATTTGTAAAAAAAATAATGCAAAATACAGTTTCATATAAAATAAATATTTAAGAAATATTATATATAGTGCTATCAAATGATTAATCGTGATTAATTGCATCCAAAATAAAAGTTTTTATTTACATAATATTTGTGTGTGTACTGTGTATATTTATTATGTATGTATATACACACAAATGCATGTATATATTTAAGAAAAATATGTTACGTTTATATATTAAATATATTTATATATGACATAATTTATATGAATATAAATATATACACGTAAATATATATATTTTTTTAATATATGCTGTATGTGTATGCCTTTATAAATACATAATAAATATACACACTACACCCACATATATTATGAGAACAAAAACTTTCATTTTGGATGCGATTAATCGCGATTAATCGTTTGACAGCACTACTTACAATATTTTCTTTTTGAACCAATACAAGGAAATATCAAGGCTAATAACCCCATTAACATAATATCTCTATAAATTATAAATATAAATGTAGTGCTGTCAAAATCCAAAATAAAAGTTTTTGTTTACATAATGTGTGTATACTGTGAATATTTATTATGTATATATAAATACACACACATACAGTATATATTTTGAAAATATTTCCATGTATATATTTATATTCATATAATTGATATTATACAGTATATAAATATTTTAAATGTATAAACGTAACATTTTTCTTAAATATATACATGCATGGGTGTGTATTTATATATGTATAATAAATATACACAGTACACACACATATTATGTCAACAAAAACTTTTATTTTGGATGAGATTAATCACAATTAATCGTTTGACAGCACTAAAATATATACACGTAAATATTTTCTAAATATATGCTGTATGTGTGTGTCTATATATACATAATAAATATACACAGTACACACACATATTATGTCAACAAAAACTTTTATTTTGGATGAGATTAATCACAATTAATCGTTTGACAGCACTAAAATATATACACGAAAATACATGATTGAAATCTGCTATAGAAAAAATGTATACTATTTGAATCAACATTTTTAAATAAGCAGAGATCATATCCAATATCAGCCAATAAAAATGAATACTGGTATCTGATATTGTGACATTACATTGTGCATCCCTTTTTCTTAAATCACCCGCCATTGCCAGAAAAATTACTTTTGGACTGTGGTAACAGTATGTGTAAATGTCTATTATTAAAAACACCAGATGTCTGCTTTTACCTGTTAGCATAGGCTGCTATTTCAGCACACGCTCTACCATCCCAGCCACAGAATGGATCTCGTGCAAACACACAGTCATAACAGGAGGTGTAGCGCTCACAGGATGACAGGGGTACTTGCACCACTCCAGAAGCGGCGCTCACATAGATGCTGTTCTGTTGAACAAAAATACACATCATAAGATTTTTTTTTGGATCCATAAGCATTTGTATTACACACTTGGATTTAATGCTGGTTGTTAATGTTTACTAGGTGCATCATGGGCTACCTGTTTTTGTGATATCACCATGTTATTGATTGGTTGTTTCTCCTCGAAAAGCTGAAGCTCTTCGATGATGTGAACATGGTCTCCGATCTTCACAGCCCTGTGTAACCAGCCCTCATCTGGAGAGAAGCACAAAAACCAAGTTTCAGGCTATGAAACCTAATATACACTACCGCTCAAAAAGTTTGTGGTCAGTAAGATTTAAAAATAATAATAATTTTATACTTTTATTCAGCAGGCTATATTAAATAAAAAATTAAATCAAAAAGACTAATTTTACAAAAGTTTTCCATTTCAAATAAATGCTTTCCTTATGAACATTGCATTCGTCAAAGTATTCTTTAAAAAATGTATCACAGTTCCCATTAAAAAAAAAATCAGCTTTTGGATCACAGGAATACATTTCATTTTACAATCTATTAAAATAGAAAATTGTTATTTTAATTGTAATAATATTTCAAATTGTTTTTACTGCATTTTCGTTCAAACAAATGGAGCCTTGGTGAGCATAAGAGACGACTTCTTAACATTAAAAAAATCTTACCAACCCCAAACTGTTATAATCTTCATATCACAATCAAAATGATCTTTTTAATCTCAATATCAAATCAATAATTTGATTTAAGGGAAATTGACCCTTACCTGTTCCAATGAAGAGCATGTCATAGACACGTCCATCCATATCCACAACCTGTTTTACAGCAATCTTAGTGTAGTCTGCACTCCTCTGGAGCAACACAGGACGTCCTCCCACTGGCTGGATCTGTCTGGACATTAAAGCATGTCTCAGAGTGAAATTCAGTACGTTGTCAGGGAGATCCCGGGAGGAATTTATGAGCAGGGCCCGATGTTGATCAGTTATACACTAAAGAGAAACAAGGCCACTGTTATATAACATTCCTCAGAAGAGTGAAAATAGAAACAATGCAATAAAAGTCCCAAAGAGCTGTCCTGCTGCTACATTACAACAGATACTAGAAGGCAACAGTTTATAGGACTATTTTGATTTAGTGCATCTCACCGAGCCAGGCCTCGGTTTTGGAACTTCCCCAGTGTATTCCCTCCATTTGGTGTCCTGTAGTTCCATGTAAGGCCCATCAAAAGCTGTCTGGACATCTCTGAATGAGTACTGACACACTGCAGACATCTTAACATTTCTCCTGGCAGTGAGAAAGAGAACGAAATGAGAATGATGAGATGTGAAACTCATATTTTTATTAAAGTGCTTGCACTATCCCTCAAGTGACAAAAAAATTTAAGTTTTCGTTTATAGTCAGAAAAACGTTTAAAAAATGTTTTATATTTATATTTATTGATCACAGCACATTGTTGAATTTTAAATGTAATGTTTTTTCCACTACATTTATAATAATGATAGTAGGAAAAGTTTTACTTTGATTTGTGATTAATCAGGTTATAGATACATCATTTTATGTTATTGTAACATTTTATCATATTAGTATCATATTTAATGTATACTTGAATGTGACTAGAATTTTAAAATGTTGGGCCAGTTGCATTAACTGCATAGACTAGTCTTAAAAAACTGAACCATCTAATTTGTTTTATTAAAGACTGGTCATTAAAGTTAGACTAATTACCTCTTGGCTAACTGTGAGTTGGTCGAACTAGTTCTTAAGACACAGTTTTAACATAGTGGCTATGTTTATGCAACTGGCCCATTGTGTATTTTATTGTTTATTCTAGTCTAATGTCTTGCCCCATACACTTCCACTGTACACACATTACTTTATGCACAATTTTCAAAAAAAGTCAAAATTGTTGTCTGTTGTAAGTCAACAGCATTTCATATATTCTGTCAATATAAATTTGAATTGAACCCAGAATATTTCTTTAGTAATTCTACTGTAAATAAACACTAAAGGTCCTTGCACACCGTTTTTTTTCTTTTTCTTTCGTATTCTTCATCCTTTCCTATCAAAATGCATACTGCCAATGCGAAAATGCAGAAAATCGAACCGGATCTGAATTTTTTTTTATAACAGAAGAACGTTTCGGAGGCAGTGTGTAAACGTGATCGACACAACATGAGGTCGTATTTATTTTTTTACGTGCAAAAATTTCAGACTCAGTGGGCAATGACCTTAATGCTGTTATCCTGCGTGCAAGTGACATCATTGTGGAATTGCAAACATTGCTGCAAGACCCAATTTCTACATGCTGTTGGGCAAATTTAGTGAATTATTTACTAATTCATTTGTGTGTGATGGATGAAGAAGAAATCAAAAATATTTCAAGCAGTGTTGTCTAAACTTAAAAATGACAGTTCCTGAACCTGTATCCTTATAGAGAAAGGTAGAGCTTATAAAGCACACAAAAACAAAAACAAACCCATTGCATTTTTTTTCTTTTCACCTGTGGGGCATAACTCTAACTTACAATAAGAAAGCTTCAAAATGAAAGACTGATGTTATTACTCCCTTCAGGCCAATAAAAGGGATTGCCACTCAGTGCTCTGTCCTGTTTACCACCTGGAAACTGATTTGATGGGAGAATTTGGTCACCAACTAGTCTGTAGACATTTAAAGGACAATTTAATATAGCATGACTCTGCATACTCTCTCTCTCTCTCTCTCTCTCTCTCTCTATCTCAATTCTGCCAATTCAAATATTGGCCCAGTGCCCTATGTCCTATTGTGAGTGTCCCTGCTATAGCGAGGAAAGCACATGGGAATATTTAGAGATGGCTCTCATGCTAAAATCCTTTAGTCATAAAAAATGTTGAGAATGAAGATAACAGGGTCACATGCTAGAGGATTAATGCTACTTCAGTTCACATCACATTTAATGAGACTGCAGCACCCCTCTCACTGTAAAACATTTCAACCCACTAAAACTGAAGGCTTATGTTTAACTGCAGCCTTAAATTTTAAGCAAACTCAATGTGGTGCCAAAATCACAACTTGAAGTGATAACATCACACTTGACTGCTTTGAATTACTATCTATCTATCTATCTATCTATCTATCTATCTATCTATCTATCTATCTATCT